TACACGTAGCGGGGGATGGGACCTCCCATGGGGAAAGCAGCCTGTTCCTCTGTCTCCAGCAGCTTCCGGGTCACCTGCAGCCTCTGTATCTGATATTCAGGATTCCAGGGCACTGCTGTAGGGACAAAGGCCATGTCCTCTGCCCAGACCCAGTTCTCTAGTCCTGTGTGAGGTAAATGAGAGAGATGGTCATGCAGCCAAACCATCCCTGTATGATCTCTGCCCCCACCTAGCATGAGGACACCTCTTCCTTCCCTTCTCTCCCTCCAAGATCACCCCCTCTCCAAAGATTTGGAGAAAGCCTTTCTCTCTTATGGCATTTCTAGTAATATGTGTGTGTGTGTGTGTGTGTGTGTGTGTGTGTGTGTGCATGTGAGTGCGCACACGCCACTTCTGGGGCTTGGACTCAGGGCCTGGGCACTGTCCCTGAACACTTTTTCTTAAGGCTAGTCCTCTACCATTTGAGCCACAGTTCCATTCCTGGCTTTCTGGTGATAAGAGTAACACACACTTTTCTGCCTGTGCTGGCTTAGATTTAAATCTCCTAAGTAGCTAGAATTACAGTTGTGAGCCACCAGTGCCCAGTAACAGTAATTGTTTTTGAGATAGGGTGTGATTTTTTGCCAGGCTCTCTGGTCTATTATTCTTCTATTTCAGGCTTTTCTTTATAGCTGGGATGATAGGTGCACATGACCATGCTCTGCTTCTTCCACTGAGATGGAATCTTGTGAATTTTTCTGTGCTGGCCTGAAACCTCAATCTTCTGAACCTTAGCTTCCCCAGTACCTAGAATGACTACCATGGACAACCGTGCTTTACTATGACTTGAGATGGGGATTCAAGAACTTTTCTGCCAGGGCTGGCCTCAAATCACTATCCTCCTCATCTCAGCTTCCCAAGTAGCTAGAATTCCATGCCTGAGCCACAGGTACCCAAATTATAAATTGCATATCTACATCATATGCTTTTGTATGTTTAATGTTTCAGATGAAAACTTACAGCTGGACAAGGAGCATCCTCCGATCCCCTTACTCCTATCAGGATGTCTTACCTGCCACATCCAGATCCACCTTGAAGTGAACACTGTGGGTGTGAACTGTGCCCAGCGTGTGCTCCCCAACTCGGTTTCCATACTTTAGGGCATCACCGAAGAGGAACACTGAGCTGATGTAGCCCGTGGTGTGGACCTTGACTTCTATGGCCCCATTGGGATGGAAGATCATATCCCACACATAGTCATAGTTGAGCATGGTAGAAACAGATCTGACCACTAACACAGTCTCC